GTTTTCCCCACAGCTGGCCTCCTCTTCCAGTCCCACCCGCCCCCAGGCTCTCCAGTAATTACTTGTTGGGGAACATCTTCCGATCCGGCAATACGCGGAGGAAGGAGGAGGGAACTTCTGCACTAATTAGTAACATGATTTCAAAAGCGACAGCACTTTCTCGTACTGGTTCAGAAGCAACAGTCACTTAACATTTTGTAAAGGGAAATCATCAAGTATCTCTTGCATTTCCTCCAAGAAATGTACGTGTGTGAAAATGAGTGTGTGCATGTGTGTGCGTGAGCATATGTGCATGTGCGTCTGTATGTTTGAGAATCTGTGCGTTTGTGCGAGTGTGTGCATGTGTGCGTGTGCACACGTGTGCGTGTGTGTGCACACACCTGTGCGCGTGGGCTCACACCCTCTAAAGGCGTCCATGGGTAGGCCCTTCCAAGCAGGTCCGCAGGAGACGAAGTTGGCCCTCAGATAGGACCTCACAGCCTCTTCCCTTCTTACACCTCCTGACGGTCTTCTGTCTGAAGCAAGTTGAGGCTGAGTGTCCTGCAGCAGATCTGTGGTGGCCCTGACCACAGGGCTCTGAGAATCCCAAATCCCAGTGGGTCCAGGGCTTCTCCATCATAGAGAAGGTCGGGGGATGAAGCAGCCCTCCCGGCGGGCTCCCTGGATGGTTGCCTGAGGATGCTGGGTCAGGCCACGCAGAGCGGCTGCTGGGAAGTGGGGACGAGGGGCAGAGGCAGCCCTGAGACCAAGTCCTGAGTCCGGGCCTGGGTGCAGGAGAGGGAGGAAGGCCTCTGGTCCTCTGCTTGGGACGGGAGCAACCAACCTCAGGAGGCTCCTGTGTCCATGCCGAGGGGGGCTGACCACGCAGCCGGCCGGAGGGTCCCGTGTCGGGGCAAGTTCTGGTCTGAACCTGGGCTGAACCGACCCCGCTAAGTGCACACAGGGAGCCCCAGCCTCTCTCTTCCAGGCCGGGATGTGGAAAGCGCAAGGGGCGCTTTCCTCACAGCCCCACCCTCCTCGCCCCACCCAGGAGCCCGCGATCCGCCCCGTAGGAATCAGGCTACAACGTGACAGGCTGGACACTCGGGGGCAACCATGCTCGCCACAGCTCAGGCTCCAGCGGGCATCCAGGCTCCCTGAACACACGTGTGGCATCGTGCTGGCCCTGGGGACGAGGGAAGGGTCAGACGCAGGTGAGACCAGCCCGGCCTGCACAGGGAAACCTGAGAGTCTCATTTTCAGGATCGTGGAATCGGATTTATTGACGTGTGACAGCCAAGCTGTTCTGAAGACACGTCACTGAGCAAGGAAAGAAGGCCCCACCCTGGGGACAAAGTGACAAAACGGAGCTTGGCAGGGATGGAGCAGAGACCGCGGTGGGGCTGAGGGAAGACCCAGCAGAGGGACGCGCGGAGGCCCGGGTGCCCGTGAGCTGCGCTGGGAGAAGCCTGTGCCGGCGTTGCACTGTTTACGCACCTGCTTCAGGTTTAATCCATCACTGCGTGAAAATTCCTTTACCTTAGAGTTTCTCTTACGCAGACTTCTTCGAAGAAGCACAAATTTTACAGGAAACAAAACTGTAACCAGGCTCCAGCCCTGTACTCACTGTCTCTCTCAGCACTCAGTCTGTGCTCACCGCTAAGAAAAAGGGTGTTGGCCCTTTAAATACACACAGAGCAAGGTCACCTCTCTGTTAACTCCAGCTGAGCAGAGAACCTGTGACCCTCCCGTCACCTCCGGTCACCTGTAGGACACGCCACCCCACACCACACGCACAGGCCCCCAGCGGCCTGGCCCTGCAGACCCACCCACGGAGCCCTGCCACGACAGCAACGCTGAACAGGCCCCGAACCTAATCACACCTCCACCCAGAGCCGGCTCTGAGCTGCAGGGCCCACGATTAGGTTAGTCTTCCTAACGAGGACGAGTGGGGCTCTTGAGAGGACCCTGCACTCCAAGCTGATTGAATTAGCGGCCCGTGCCCACGTCCGTGACAGGGACTGCCCCCCTCCGCTGGCTCCGGGCCCTGCTCGGGCCCCGCCGGCTGGCATGGAGCGGGTCTTCGTCCCCGCGCAGCCGGGCCTTCTCGCGACCTGCTCGCGGCACTGACCGCAGTCTCCTTCCCTTCCCTTTCGCCTTTGCCTTCTGTCTCCTTTACCCAGTGCCACCAGGCAGGCGGGTGGTCTGTTGGGGGGAGGGCCCTGGGGGAGAGGGGCTGCGGTCACCAAAGGCTGATGACCACACGCATCCTTTCCGCCCTAAAGTCAGAACCTCAGGAGCACGTGCACCACCCGGGCTTCCTCCTTTCAGGTCCAACGCCCCAGGTACCAGGGCCTTCTGCGCATCCTGTCACTCCCGAGGTCACGCTGAGACAGGAAGGGGGATGGCCACGCCCATGGCGCGCTTCTGCAGAGCAGCACAGACCTCCGTGGTCCAGCCTGGCGTCTTTCCAACACTGCCTTTGCTGGCTGAGTCACCGCAGCCCCACCAGGGACAATTCCCACTGGGGCCTTCTGCAACTTTTGCTGTTGTGCACAAATTCTCCAAGAACTAGCCCGATCAGCTAGGTACCCACACTGGTGAATCTTCCACATTCATACCTGCTTCCCCAAGTGTTCTCACTTTCCCGAAAGTGATTTCGAGAATCAACTATTTTAGTCCTTCATGAGTTCATTCAATAAATATTTACTGAACTGAACTGCTGTAAGTTTCCAAGCACACTGTCAGGTGCTGGGGAAAGAAAGAAACAGGATACAGTCCTTGCCTTCAAGGCTGTCAGTCAAGTAGATGAGCTGGGCAAATTAAAACATCCGTGCATCACTGTCAGATGACAAGGATGTTTCTGGAGAAACATGGAGACGGTGGTCAGATAAAAGGAGGTTTAGAAGGTCAGCCTTTTAAAAGACAGCTGCAGTCATGTGTCCCATACCCAAGATAAGAGGATCGCACACAAAAAGAAAGGGTTAGTTAAAATCAGGTGTGACACAAACTTCAGCTTCTTGGAAGACAGAATCGTCTCCCTGTTCCTCCCCTATACACCCTGGACATTACACAGAAACACAAGACTCTCAAAGGTGGGGAAAAGGCCACAGGAATGCCAGACTTGGAGCTGAAGAAGCAGGAAATGCCAGGAGGCCCCAGGAACAGGCTGTTCTCTGTGCAAAAGACCAGGAAGGGTGCAGCCTGGCAGAATAGGCAACTTTAGCCAATAACTGCTCTACTCCAAACAAAACAAAAAAAGGCAGCCCCACCACCACCCGTGATAGCAGAGGAGGGTGGAAATCCTAGACGTTTACTCCTGCCAGGCGTCCCAATCCCACCGCCAGGGTAGTGTCAAGGAAGCCAGCTAAAACCAAAGGTCTAAGTAAGACCCAGAGTCTTATAAATAACGTGGAAATGTCCAGGTTTAAACTGGAAATCATCTGTCATATCAAGAACCAAGAAGATCTCAAACAAAATTTTAAAAAGACAGTGTTTAGATGCCAAAACTGTGAGAAAAAGCAAAGATTTTCAAACAGCCACTTTAAAACTGCTTCAATGAGCAATGATGAATATGCTTGAAACAAATGAAAAAAGAGAGTTTCAGCAAAGAAACAAAAAGCTTCACAAAAGGATCAAACATGTAAAGAAGAACCAAATGTAAGTTTTACTGTATTGAAAAATACAATAACCAAAGGAAACAGTCAGTAAATGGGCTCTCAGAGCACAGAGGCTGGAACACCGGAAAGAACCAGTGAACCATAACAAAAAAAGAAACGATCTTAACAAAAGAATCATAGCAAATAACCTAACGTTCCACATCATCAGAGTCCTAGAGAAGAGGGGTAAAGGGCAGGACTGAAAAAGTACTCAAAGACATAACAGCTGAAAACTTCCCCAAATTAGCAGGAAGTATAACCCTAGGGATTCAAGAAGCTGAGTGAATCCCAAACAGGACAGATCCACACCAAGACACACGTCACAGTCAAACTTCTGAAAACTAAAGACCAAAAATAAATCTCAAAAGCAGCTAGAGCAAAACAACACCTTACTTACAGGGGAAACAAACATCACAGTGGGTTTCTCCTCAGAAGCCACAGAGGCCAGAAGGAAGTGGCACATTTCTCAAGGGCTAAAAGAAATGAACTATCAACCTAGTTCAACCTGTATCAGCAAAAATATCCTTCAGAGATGAAAGGGATATCAAGACATTCGCAGGTGAAGGAAAAGTAAAAAAATCTGCCACCACCTGAAATACCCTTAAAGGCTAGTTACAGGAGTTTCTCAAAACAGGAAAAAAAAAAACAAAAACGAAAACAAGAAAAGAAGGCATCTTGGAACAGCAGGAAGGAAGGAAGAACATCGTAAGCAAAAATAAGGGTGAACACAATAGACATTCCTGTCCTCTTCAGTCTTGTGCATTATGTTGACTGAAGCAAAAATTATAATATTATCTGATGTGGTTCTAAATATGAATAGAGGAAATATTTAAGAAAATTATAAGTGGAGCGAAACATCACGTATATAAAATATACTACATTAAAAATATCATAAAGGGAGGTAGAGTTTCTACACTTCACTAAAAAAATCTATACAGAGAGCACCCACTCAAAACCACCATAGATAAATACTCATTAAACAACAACTCCCCACCCTCCCCTCTTCCCAGCCCCCGGCAACACCATTCGACTTTCTGTCCATGAATCTGATGACCCTCAGTCCCTCATATAAGTGGAACCATACGGTATTTGTCCTTTTGTGACTGAGCACGTCCTCACGATTCCATGAAGTAACCTGTGTCAGAACTTCCTTCCTGTTAAGACTGAATAATATTCCATTGTAATGGACAGACCACATTTTGTTTATCTATTCATCCACTGATGGACACTTGGGTTGCTTCCGTGTTTTATCTGTTATGAATAATGCTATTATGTTATGAACATGGGTGTACAGTATCTCTTCAAGACCCTGCTTTCAATTCTCTTGGTTATATGCCCAGAAGTAGAATTGCTGGGTCACACTGTAATTCTATTTTTAATATTTTGAGGAAATGCCATATTGCTTTCCACAGCAGCTGGACCACTCTGCATTCCCACCAACAGAACACAAGAATTCCAATCTTTGCACATCCTTTACCAACACTTGCTGTTCTGTTTTTCTGACAGTCACCATCCAAACGGGTGAGAGGTGACATCTCACCGTAGCTTTCATTGTACAGGTCCTTCCACCTCCTTGGTTAAGTTAATTCCTAAGCATTTTTTGCTATTTGATGTTCTCATAAATGGAACTGTGCCTGAGGGAGGCAGGGAGCGCCTGAGACCTGCTCTTGGTGGTGCTAAGGGGGAGGAGGCTGCCGCGTCGTTTCCTACATTAAAGGGCTTGAACCTTCTGCCTTCGGGAGACATCTGTGGACCCCGCCTCCCGTCCATGGCCTGCAGTGAGCTGCTTCACGGGAGGGTCTCGGCTTCCCCTCACCTGTCGCACAGGAACACACCTGCTTGTACGTCAAGAGGTCAGAAGACCAGCGTCCTAACCCGAAGCTGCTCTTGAACTGAAAGTGAAGCAGCAGATGTGCGCACGGGTCCCTGCCGCGCCCCTACCTCATGCCCTCCGTGGACACGGGTCCCTGCCGCGCCCCCACCTCATGCCCTCCGTGGACACGGGTCCCTGCCGCGCCCCTACCTCACGCCCTCCGTGGACACGGGTCCCTGCCGCGCCCCCACCTCATGCCCTCCGTGGACACGGGTCCCTGCCGCGCCCCTACCTCATGCCCTCCGTGGACACGGGTCCCTGCCGCGCCCCTACCTCATGCCCTCCGTGGACTGGTGGCGGTGGTTGCGGCAGAGCTGCGGCATGCCCAGCATGGCCTCGGTCAGCACGGCCAGGAAGCCCAGGCTCTCCACGAAAAGGGCCGAGTCGATGGACAGGTAGGTGACACAGCCCGCCACACCGGTGAAGGCCAGGACGCACTGCACGTAGTCCCCAAAGCTGTCCCAGTGCCAAAAGTGCTGGGGGTCGAGGTCTAGGGCAAAAGGGAGAGAAACGTGAACGAGGTGTGCAGGCCAAGGTCAGTGGGGGAGGACGGGACCGAGTGAGGAGGCCAAGGTCAGTGTGGGGGAGGACGGGACCGAGTG